CCACTACGGAGAAGGAGGGGGAGCAGCTGCCCTTTATGGCTAATCCCCCCATGGACAGAGTACATGCTGAGGATGTGGAAGGTCCAGGATGGAGCAGAAATTTAAACCCAGAATTCCTATCTCCTCAGACAGCACGATAGCCACTTAGGATATGGGGTCTTCTGAGATGAGTCGCTCCCAGCATCTCCTGTTTTAAAGCATTCTGCTTTGTGTAAAGTAATTAAATACTCAGTGGAGCAGAGCCTGGAACCTTGTTCTCCCAAGTGAGTGCTCTAACCACTGGCTTAGAGAGTCATCTTCCCTCTGTCCCTTTGGCTCAATGAATACTGAGGCTCCTAGCAGCGTGAGAGGGCTCAAAGCTGTGCCTCCCAGATGAATGGAAGTTTCTTCCTCCAGGCCAGAGTTAGACACCCAAGTCTCTGAGAGGGGTGGGCATAGGTCCTTATTCCTGTTCTCTGCATTTCCTATTAGCTGGTAGGTAACTCCCTGCTCAGCATGCTTGCTGCAGAGAGGGTCCCTTTCTTAGGACATCTCTCCACGTGCTGTATAAGGAATCTAGGCTGCTAACACAGGAGCATACTAAGTGTTAGGTATTGCAACCCAAAGCCTATGTCCTCCTTGTGGCTTTAACTCTGCTAACCCTTTTTTCCTCACATACAGCCACCTGCTTTCTATGATGATTCAGGCTGGGGTGCAGCAAGCCCTGTCCCCACTAACCTCAGTATGATTTCTGCCATCGTTGGTCAGCCAGTGGCATAGCTGTGCTGATGCAACCCCTGGAGTAGAAAGATAAAGGAACTTCTAGCAGAACTTACTGCAGCTTGAAGTAGGAGTAAATTTGGCCAGTTTTGTAGAGTGACTAATTAATTCCACTGTGCTGTTCAACCCAGGCGGCTTTGTAAGCTGTATTGCGTTCCAGACAGGGTGTGGCCCTGAAAAACAAGGAAGGCATTGCTGTGTCAGAGCCCATTGGCATCTCTATTTGGTACTTGGCTTCTATTCTAGCTACTTTCCTG